CTTCACTTCTCTGGAGGACTTGTGTTTATCACATGAAAATAATCTTTAGCTTCTATAAGCAAAGATGTCATCTCTAATTATTATTTACCAGTTTCTATACAAGCAATTTATGTCACCCAACACTCATTGGGAAAATCAGCATTTCAAAGATCTTGATCCTTTTTTAATTCTTGTTTGGTTCAATCAGAATTTTGACACATGTCCTTGTGAAAAATTGCTGTTTATAATCAGCACTATAGCATCCAGATCCAGCTATATCAGTATTAGATTATGCTATGTTGTATTATTATAGCCACTTGTCCAGTGAACTTTGCAATATCTCTGTGATTCAGGAACCTCCCTCGGTAACCTGTTCTAGTGACCACGTAACCTCCCTCATGAGAATAAAAAATTTTAAAAAAAATTGTTTTCCTAATATCTAATTGCAATTTCTCATGTTCCAAGCTGTGTCCATTGTATCTGGTCTTTTCACATGCCACTTCCAAGAAGATTCTGGCTCCATCTTCTCTATTCCCAGCCTCTACTGGTGCACGGGGTTATTCCTCCCTTGGTGCAGGACTTTGCATTTCCCGTTGCTGAGAGCTGTGCAGGTGCTGTGCTGCTGCTCCTTCTGTTTGGTCTCCTCCCATGGAGGCCCGTCTGCTGGTTAACAGTGTTGATGATTTCCATTTTCTTAAAGACTTCTTCCTTGGGTAGGTAGTTCCTGCATTGTAAAATCTCAAATTAGGAAACATTGGAACATGAGTTACCTGTGAAACTATATGAACATTTCATATCATGTATTTGTTGTTACTACCAGAGAAGAGCCCTTATCCCAGTTACTCCCTAATCATGGTTTTCACTGTGAAAAAGAAAATCTAGAATAGATTCTTGCTAGCTACCTTTTTTTTTTCGTTGTGTCATCTGACAGTTACTCTTCTTGGTTTGAAATTTCATAGTTAACAAATTGAAATATTTTAAAGTGGGCCCATTTTTTTCCAGTTTTTTTTTCTGTGTGTATGTAGTGTAATTCCTAGAAAGCATCTGAAGAAAGAAGGGACACAGAACAGACAACTTAAGGTACTACCAATAAAACTTTAAAAGTACAATAATTTCTGAAATAATAACGGTTAAGAAATAGCTGGCTAAGTGTCCCTTTGAGCTTGACTGTTCCTTGGAAAGGTGAAGAGTCTTAGAGGAAAGGGATCCCAATGACTAACGCCTTGTCCAGAAGGTCAGCAGCCTTTTGCCTTTGTTGGGATGAAGGAGGAGGTAATTCCTGAAATAGGCAGTTTGGTCTCTTATGTTTTGAAAGCTTCCATATGATCTTTTCTGTCACTATAGTTACTCCTTTTGTTTATAAACAGTGAAAAAACTCTTGTTCAGTATTCTGAAAGGTAGGTGGAAAGGAGAAGATTGGCTTTATATTCTACATATTTCTTTATATTCTACAAATTCCAGTAAATTATCATGTGTAATTTCACCTGGATTTCCTGCTGTCTTAATTTATTGTTCTTACTTATATTTATTAGTGGAAAGAGGGAGTATTATACTGCTCCTTCCTACCTCAGCTAACTGAAAACCAGCTTTCTGATAAGTCTCAGTCAGGTCACTGCATTGTACAGCTTCATAGATCAATGTCTTCAGTGATTTATATCTTCTTATTGATTGTAGAAAGCTTGCCATTTCCAGACTGCGGGGTCTGTTTTCATCTCTTGTTTTCTATTGGCTATAGGGCCTGTGGTGTTTGATCAAAGGGTTCATCATCAGTGTACTGTTTGTTTGATTTATAGAACAAACTGAATACTTAGAAATAATGGTCAGGGCAGGATGTCTTTTAAGATTTGCAAAATATTGTTGGTTTCAGAAAAGCAATGACAGTTTAAAGCAGATTGAGAAGCGTACACAATGTGGGACTTGATTATGAGTTTCTCATTAGTTTCTGTGGGAACAGGTCTAGAGTGAGCAGCATAATCCTAGTTTCCTTTTAGTAAGATCTGAATATTTAATATTGTTATTGTCTCTTTGTTGACACAGAGCATTAGAGAGGAAGATGAGCCTTTACTGTAGAATTCTCATCAGACTGCTGTGTTTGCATCCTGTCGTGGTACAAGCCTGTGTCTTAAACTCTTACTAGTCTGGGGAGACCAAGAGCTGGACTGTTGCTTTTTTTGTCTTTTTTTGGGGGCTTTTTCTTTTTACCTGTCCGGCTTACTTCCAGAGCACCATTTCCATCCGTTACCTTTTCACAGAAATGAAACTGCATTGATCAGCAGAATAGCACTTACTCTGCCTTCACTGGACTGTTTAGCTGGAGAGTATTTTGCTATTCAGCTCGAAAACCCAGCCTGCCTTTAATTGTGCAATACATGATGCATACAACAGAGACTGTTTAGAAGATTCAGAAGATGGTCTTTATTTAAGGTAACACAAGAAGTATAGGAATCTAGGGAGGGAAAAAGGAAGAAGCTGCTCTATGCCATTGTTTGCTTCCTTCAGCATGCTCACTCCAGAGCTTTCTGTAGGATTTGATCAGCATCATGCAGGAGATACACATTTCCTCCTGCAAATCTTTCTCTGCCCCTCTGCCCCTTCCTGCCTCCCCCCAGCAGGCAGCTACCTTTGATATTAGCAGATTTTTCACTCTTAAGAGGATTCCATCATTCCAAAAGCCTTTGTCATCCTCAGTCTTACTTGACTTGACGTTAAGCACAAAGGATGCTTAAGAAGCACCTGTTTTCTTTGCTTTCTTGAGTGTGGATTTTCCACTCTACCCTTACTGTACATCGCTCAGGTAGAACTGGTTAAAGTGATGGGGCAGTGCCCTCAGCAAATTGCATGCTTAAGCACAATTTCTAAGATTAGGAATGTTTTCCAGGGTTCTGCAACTTTTCCAGGTAGGGTAAGTGACATATCAGGGACCTTTTTAGCCCATGCCTGAAACACTGAAACTCATTTATTATTACTCAGTAATAAAATAGTTTTGAAAATATGTGAGCTGTACTTGTACACTCAAGCAGGGGTAACAGTAGTAAGCATCCTGAGGTATTCTAGTGCACATCATAGTAAAAGAGGATGCGTATCCTTGATTATGCCACTAGTGTGCAAAGTTCATTGAATTTTGTAATTAGAAGATGAATGGGTTACTTCTTTAGGCGACTGGGATTTACTTTGTGAGAAGTTGCTTTACTCCTCTTTGTGTGGTGAAATGTCATAACCTATGCTTTCTTCTACCCGTCCTTTGAAATTGCTGCCCTCTAGTTTGAGCAGGAAAGGTGTCCCTGTGCAGAAATTTATGTTTTCTTCTGTTGTTAGCCACATCTAATTCGTGTCACATTCTCTCCTAAAAATGATTGTTTGTGTTTGAATTACATCAAAGAGATACCTTTGTCAATTTTTTTCCTGAGTTCATGGAAGTGTTTTATGTCAATGCACTCATCAGGGCAGCTTGAAGGGAAAATGGTTTAATGGCTCTTTTACAGATGCTTGATCGTTGCACCAGTGAGTAGCAAGCAAGAAAAAAACCTTCAACTACTGTATTTATGGTTCCTTTGTGATCAGGATAGCACTAATGCTGGAAACCTGACAGAATGGCTCTTTGACGTCTGTGTTTTGAGGCTCAGAATGAGATCTGTGCCTCATGGTTTGTGTAAGAGTATTCAGTGATTAAGCCTGTAGCTTATAAAATTGATTCTTGATGAAAGTTTTAACATAGTAATAGTCAATTTCTAAGCTAGTTAATATTTAAAAATGACATTGTTAGAAATGTGATTCACAGTGCTGATTTTTATTTCAGTTGTATTTATAGGTTTTAATTAAGATAATGTCTTGCTGTTGACTCTCGACGAGTTAAGTTTGCACAGTTATGCAAGCTGGATTGGTTCTTCATGAAAATACATACTTTTATGCTTAGACAGAGTTTGTGTTCTGTAGTAGTTAAGGAGAAATACATCTCACTTACAAACTAAGCCAAAGATCATGGAAGTATGTGCCTTTGTATGTAAAAATTACCAAAAAGGCACACGAAGAAAACTAAATACTCATTAAAGGACTTCTCTAGATTTGTGTTGACACCTGTTATTTTATGTTGATTTACCTTACATTTTCCATTCTTAATCTTCTCATTAGTTGTCACACTGCATCTGCTTATATAGTTAGTGAACGTGGTTTACAAGGTAGAGACTGTCCATTTCGTGTTGCATTCAGATGATAATTCACTCCATACATCTGTGTAGTTCTCGTTTTTCCCCTTATGCTTGCCTTGTCATTTTGGGCAACATTTTACATTGCCTCTCCGTAGTCTCGATGTTTTGCTTGCTCTGTCTCATTCTCTCTCAAAACAGAACTTGGACACATAATTAATGGAGTTAGTAGAATTCTGTGTTCAATCCTATGATTTTTATAGACCTCTTGTAAAACTCAGCAGCCATAGTCCACTTGGCAGCAGCAGCTAGTAATAGCCCAGTCTGACTGGCTTGTAATGGGCTGGGGCACTTCTGAAAATTTTGCTGCCAGTTTGAGTCTCTCCAGTTATGTATAAGTGTGGATCTTCAATCAGTATTCAGGTGGTAGTTTGGTTTTCAACCCATTATTTAGTGATTCAAATATTAGCTCTAGATGAAGAAAGGTGAAATACATTAGGCATGAACATATGTTAGCTTTTCCTCAAAAAACTGCTTTATAGCTCAGTGGCAAAATGCTTCCATTGAAAGGTGGATGCTCAATTTTATTGCAACTTTTAAAGAAGAAAATGCAAGGTATTTTATTAACAAGGTGATCAGTTCCACTTTTTAAAAATCTTCAGTAGATGTAGCAGTCAAGTTGTGCATACACTTCTGCAGAATTGACATAGTGGCATGATTCATAGACCCTTCATGACTCCACTTATTTAGTACTGTAATCATGTAACTGGCAACTTACTCTGTCTTTTTTTCATTCATATACAAGGGAGGTTTGAAGATATTTGCATAGTTAACTTCATTTGCACCTGTGAGTAATGACATTTTAAAATATCATTTCAGGAAAAGCTGTCAGAAGAGAGTAGGAAATGTAAAGAAGGCATGGAAAAAATTCACACGCCAGCAGATGAAGATTCAAGAAGTGAAAGCAGCAGCACTGAAGAGGAAAAAGAAAAGACAAAATTGCTGTTGGATCGTTTGAAAGCTCTGGAGGTAAGAAGTACAATGGTTTCACACATAAAAGACCACCCTGCCCCCTGCCTCATTCATTTATCGGCACTGAATCACCCTGTAGGATAAATCTAATCTTTCACAGTTCACCTGTACTCACGTTATGGAGGTTTTTTTTATGATTCATTTACTGAGGATGAACAAGGAGCTTAGTCTTAGAACCACTGTAGGGATCCCTCTCTAATGTTAAGCATCAGATATCTTTAAAAAGAACTTCATACATTATTTTAATTCAGGTCAGACCATTTGATAAGAAAAAGTGGTTTTACTGGTTTTGTTTCAATTATTAATATTCTAAAACTAATATAGATGGTTTAACAACTGTCATAAAACCAGTGTTGCTTCATTATAGTTTATTGCTCAACTTTTAATTGCTGGACTGCTTGCTTGGGAGAATTCAGATCTTTTTACTACTAGATTGTGGAAAATCTGTTTCCTTGTAGACCACATGGAGAACTGCACACTCTACATTTTGAGTGCATTTCTGGAAAATCAGGATGTGCAAAATAGTGCCCCTTGTGGTAATTCCTAACTAGAGGAAAAGTTTTAAAGTTTTGTTAGGCAACCGTGGACAAGGTGCAGGTAAGACTGTAATCGCTATATATGAACTTACTTTGTGCTCCTTGATAGAAGCATGGGTTTCAATGTGTATAAAAAAATAAAACTGTGCATATTTTAATATAATTTTGAACTAGTACAAAGGCATATTTTTAACTTACCAAGTGTTTCCTCCGTTCTCTTTTGTTGAAGTATATACGTAGTGTTACAGGTATGAATAAATGAATGTCTTAGAATGATCTTAGTGGCATTTTGCCTTTGTAGGGTCTCAGTAAGTAAAGAATTCATCACTGGGCCTGTACATTTTTGGTTAAGTATGAGGTCTCTTTTGCATCATAATATTTATTTTGAGTTGTACTCTGATCAAATGAAAACTCTGGATTTTTGTTCTTGAGGACTTTGTTAAAAGTAAAACTTGAACAGTTATAATCATGTTTGGACCTAAATACAGAATCTGAAATATGAAAGGTATAGGCAGTTGGTGCGGTTTTTCTTTCCTTTAAAATCTTAGAATGTTTGTAAAATAAACACATTTAATATTGATTAAATGTAATTTTGCCCTGGGGAAAAAACACATGATACTGAATTTTTAAGGCCCATAAAACTCTGATAAATGTACAGTTTACTATAGTCTTGCTTTATCTGTCAATAGAGAATAACTGTAGTTTCCTTGTGGTCTTTTATTTCCAAATATGCATGATCTGTGTTTGCTTTGCCTTGTTCTTAATCAGTCTACATGACAGTTGCAGTTCTTTATGTCCTCCGTTGATAGGAAGTTGTTCAATAATACCACAGCCTTTGTCAGTTGTGGCAAATTGCCCAGACAGAATCTAGTTCTGGAAGGTCAGTGAATAGGTGTCCTCACTGATGTCAATGTTGTGCAGTGGCTTATTCAAAAACACATATTAGTGAATGCAAATACTTCAAGAAGTAATCTACATAAATAGTCTAAGGAGCTATCAAAGTAGAAAGATGAACTGCAGAGACAACATTAATTGTGACCCAAGATCATTAAAACAAAGTATTGTTAATTGTGTGGTTCTTAGTGTTATATATTCTTGCACTTGATTTTTCTCTTGAAGAATATAAATTATAATGTCAAAGATGCTATGGTTTGTTAATTAAGAGACATACTTTTTTAAGTTATATGCAATTAGCAGTTCTAATCCTTTACTATTTGCAGAGTAATTATTCTAAATATTTTATTAGTCTATATAGAAAGGAACAAAAAATTACTATTTGTTAGTTCCTGTGCTGTGGGTGTCAGAATCTTTAATCTTACTTTACATAATTAGATGTTACTGTTTCATACACAATTAATAAAATCAGAAAAGCTAATAAAGTACCCTACTAAAGTTGATCCTCCATCTGTGCACTGTAGAATCTGAAGACTGCCTATAAACAGAATCTAGTAAAAGTAATAGTCAAAATGTAGCACCTAATCCATTAATGCCTATTAATGTAATTTCATTAATGTCAACGCTTTTAAGAAATCTTTCAATATCTCTTCATATTAGTTTATTACTCAAGTGTAGCTCATGACATGATGTAGCCTAGTCTGTTACAGCATTGTAAAATTATTCCATCTTCCTCCTTACCTATATTCGTTATTCTATTGCTAGAGTGAGCTTCTCTTGAAATGAGGGACTGTATCTATGTGTATGTACATGTATATAAATGTATATGACTACACATCTAGGGAAAAATTTGAGCAACTGCTGTAACGTTTTTATTATTTAAAAGTTGAGATTCAGCAGGTAAGTTTTTTTCTAGTTTATACTTCTCTTGACTGATCACATTAAAACAAAAAAAGTTGGATAAGTCTGAGCTAAGTTTCAAGTGAATGAAGTACCAAAAGAGAAAATCTATCCACCAGCACGGGGATAAATGGGTAGTTTACTGGTACATATACAATATAGCAGATTATTTAGTTTCTTTTATTTTGAATATCTATATGGGAAAAGAGTTCCTGTTCTGTACATGAAATAAATTGTTTCTGCCCTTCCTGGACTAGGATAGATATGAGGTACATAGCACGATAGATATGAGGTACACGGTGGTTTTCTTCAGGAACTTCTGGCAATGTGAGGAACACCTTGGACTGTTGGATATGGACCAGGAAATTATCAAATCTAAGTGTAAAAAAAGGGGTGAGGCTTCATTTTCACAGAAAACTTTCTTTAAATCATAGAATCACAGAACGGTCAGGGTTGGAAAGGACCTCTGGAGATCATCTAGTCCAAACACCCTGCCAGAGCAGGTTCACCTACAGCAGGTTGCAGAGGATCGGATCCAGGCAGGTTTTGAATATGTCCAGAGATGGAAACTCCACCACCTCTCTGGGCAGCCTGTTCCAGTGCTCTGTCACCCTCAAAGTAAAGTTCTTCCTCATATTGAGATGGAACTTGCTATGTTTCAGTTTGTGCCCATTGTCCCTTAACCTGTCGCTGGGCACCACTGAAAAGAGTCTGGTCCCATCCTCTTGACACCAGCCCTTAAGGTATTTATAAACATGGATGAGATCCCCTCTCAGTCTTCTCTTCTCCAGGCTGAACAGCCCCAGTTCCCTCAGCCTTTCATCCTAAGGGAGATGCTCCAGTCCCCTCATCATCTTCATTGCCCTCCACTGGGCTCTCTCCAGTAGTTTCTTGTCTTTCTTGAACTGGGGAGCCCGGAACTGGACACAGTAGTCCAGATGTGGGCTCCCCAGGGCAGAGTAGAGGGGGAGGATAACCTGATAACTTCCCTGGACCTGCTGGCCACACTCTTCCTGATGCATCCCAAGGTACCATTGGCTTTCTTGACCATGAAGGCACATTGCTGGCTCATGATGAACTTGTTGTCCACCAGGACTCCCATGTCCTTCTCCTCTGAGCTGCTCTCCAGTAGGTCAACCCCTGAGCCTGTACTGGTGCATGGGGTTATTCCTCCCTAGGTGCAGGACCCTACACTTGCCCTTATTGAACTTCATCAGGTTCCTCTCCTCCCAGCTCTCCAGCCTGTCCAGGTATCGCTGAATGGCAGTGCAGCCTTCTGGTGTGTCAGCCACTCCTCCCAGTGTTGTATCATCAGTGAACTTGCTGAGGGTACACTCCGTCCCTTCATCCAGGTCACTGATGAATAGGTTAAACAAGACCAGACCCAGAACTGACCCGTGAGGAACATTGCTAGCTGCAGGCCTCCAACCAGACTCCATGTCACTCATCGCAACCCTCTGAGCTCTGCCATCCAGCCAGTTCTCAATCCACCTCACTGTCCACTCATCTAACCCACACTTCCTGAGCTTTCCTGTGAAGATGTTATGGGAGACAGTGTGAAAAGCCTTCCGTATCAGTGGTGTTGTATTTAACATTTCTTTTTTTTCTTATACTTGGGTCAATGTCAAATGTATTGCCAAATAAATTTCTGTAATACCTTTTAGGTTTTATTAACTTCTGTTTACCCTAGAAATTTTCTCACTGAACAATACAAATCAGTATAATAAAGTATCTTTGTAGTCAGCCCAAGTGAAAGCTATCATATACTTTGATAAGAAATGTATATACATATTCTCCCATTGCTCCTTTCCCCTATAATCTTTTTACATCCTTTATCATTTGCAGCAAATTCTATTTCCACTCTACTGACTGATAAATACCATACGTTCCTAATCAAATGAAACAGATGACAAATAACGAATGGTTCATACCGTCTTGTATCCCATTTTATGTAGTTGAAATTAGTTGTGATTTCCTGGATATCAAAACTCCTTTGTGCCTTCAGCATTTTTAGTTGGCTGCTCTTGAAATGTCACTTAATTTGCTTCAGCAGTTATGATCAAATGCCTTCGAACTCTTACAAAGCAAAAAAAAAAAAAAAATTATCTGATAACTTCTTTGTGTATTTGGAGTGCTGCAAAAAATGAAATATTAATGAAGTACGATGAATAACATATCAACTCCTTGGTGGAATTTCATTTTTTTAATCTGCTTTCATCACCAGAAGAATTGTGATTTTTTTTTAAATGGTAGCCAGAAATGTACAAAAAATATAATTTATTCTGGACATGCATCAACCCCCATACAACAATTTCAGGTATATGTAGGTATATACACAATTACAGTAAAACAGTAATGTTATATTTCCAAAGCCATATGCATGTAAGTTGGAAATTTTTCACAAAACCTTAATTTGCCCTCCTGGGTATGTTGGGTATTACACGGACTCTCATTCCAAGATTGTATACTGTTTCTTGTTTCCAGCAAAAACAGTTTACACAGTCACAGTGCACAGAGGAAAGCTTTGAGAATATTCTATATTTGAAAAAACAGTGTCTATAAAGGCCTTAAGACTGTCCTAGAGCTTCATCATCCAATATGAAGCTATGGGCTCTCTGCCCCAATTTAGCCTTAAATGACTGAAATACAGGCTGCCCAAGCACCTGC